GCTCATTGTAGACAGTTGTACTTTCACGGAAGCAAGTTAACTCGTACCATTGTAAACTCGTACCACGTAAACTCGTACCAAAAAAGTTAACTCGTGCCAACGTAAACTCGTACCACTGGGAAGTCGTACCAATCAGAACTCGTACCACTGCAAACTCGTACCATTAAAAATATATTAAAAAATACGAATGTTTTATGATTTTGTTTTGGTATCACCAGCCCAGTAGTCAGCACTTCTGTGCTGACATGAATTATCATTGATATGGTCATATTTATAAATTAACTGTTTACAAAACTTTTGCAATTTTGAAATACTAAGGCTTTTCTAGTTCAGGAATAGAATCACCTTAGCTGTATTTGGCAAAACTTTTAGGAATTTTGGTCCTCAATGCTCTTCAACTTCGTGCTTTATTTGGCTTTTTTAACTTGTTTGGATTCGAGCGTCACTGATGAGTCTTTTGTAGACGAAATGCGCGTCTGGCGTAAATACAAAATTTAATCCTGGTATCTATGATGAGTTTATTTAAAACACAATGAATAAATTCTTTCGTTAAATAAAAATTCCTTTTAGAAACAAAAGAAAAATACACAAATCTATTCAATGATACTGATTTGGAATGATTAAAAATTAAATCAAATAGTTGTCAGTAAAAGTTTAAAAAAGAGTCTACTCAAGGGAGACAGCAAAGCCAATCTGCCACGGTTTTCTCTATCCAATTAGACAAGGAAAATTAGCTACAAATTGGTCATTGTAATTTCAAATTATATACATTTTACAGATTTACGAGGTATTGAGGGAAATTAAAGTATATATTCATCATTAAACACCATTTGAATGCATTTAAATAAGTTGGTACGAGTTCGTTTACAATGGTATGAATTTACCGTGGTACGAGTTAGCAGTGGTACGAGTTTGCATTGGTACGAGTTTTTTTTTAGTGGTACGAGTTGACATTGGTACGAGTTTACAATGGTACGAGATAACTATAATTCTACTTTCACATAGATATAGAGTTTTTCACAACTTTTGGTGAATGTCTGTTTAGTAAGCTTTCAATCCACATCTCCTTATCTATTTACTGTTAAGTGATGCTATTGATACAGTGAACAGCAAGATGATGTCTCTTTTACTGTAACTGTGTAGAAATTCAAAATATAGTCCCATTAAGAGGATATGAATGATCATTAATCATCAATGCTTTTGAGCGCAGAAGGGTGGGGACAAGGGTGGCTGCCCTTCTATTTAGGGCAGGCGGGAACACTGATAATTGTTTGCACACCTTTTCACTTTATGCAGACTTTGACTTGTGTTCGACCTTCCAACTTAAATTTGTCCTAGCTTATTTTTTTAGTCTATAAATGTAGTTGATTTAAGATGAGGGATTATCATACCTGCTTCAACAAAAGATGAGTTAAAATGTCAAGTTTTTAATCAATTTGTCATATTATCATCGACTCGGACTCATATAATTTAGAAAATCATATTACATGTATTATTGTTTTGATTAACTAGCATAGACATTTCTGTCATTTTCATTGTTGAGTTTATGACCTTGGGGATGACCAGAACTCTTTACACACTAATATTTATCAAACCTGAGGGAGGATAACCTTAGGAATCATGTGTGCATAACATGGTATGTATATTATTATCCTATTTAGATTAGGGTGGGGATTGTTATCAACAAACAGACTAAATTAATGGCCTGAAGTTGGACATTTCTCATGGCATGCATGTGTACAAGCCATTTTCTTGAAAGTTAAGCAAGTCAGATGCAGTCTTGAATTTCAAAAAGTTTGGATTGCTGTTCCTGGTACGTGGGTTCGATTCCCACCCAAGGCTTACATTTACTATGTTACTTGTACCCATACTATATATTAATGCATGAAATTGTTCAGTTTTTTACATGTTAAAATTGTTAAAAATTTCTTCAAATTTAGTGTTTGACATCGTTTGTTATCTTTAAAAATCTGAATGTCATTTATTATTTACAAGAAAATATTTAAATATTTTTATACATGCATTTGATAAGATAATTAATGACATCATTTACATGATTTTTTTCCTATTCAGTATTTCAGTCAAATTAACTTTTATCATAAATATGGGTACACATAACATTTTTGCTGGTGCAAATGGAGGAAACTGCCTTGTGCCTCCACCAGGAATATCAATCCAAAGTTGTGAAAAATATTTCTAGTAAATTAAATATATATATATATACATGTATATATATATATATATTATAAAGAAAATTATTTATGCATATTCAAAGTACATTTGAAAAAAAAAATTAAATTTAAGCTTACAAAACTATATTTTTGTCTGACTTTTCTACTGTTATTTTATATTTTCAAACTATTACTCAGAAGTATGTTTTCTTATTGTACTTATTCAGGTATGTTGAAAGTGGTCATGTAGACCAGATAAAGATTTATGACGTCAACGGAAGTCCTTTCTGTTTTTTGAAAGCTGATGTAATAGGGTCGATGAAAATCCGGGACAAACCACACCAACCTTGGGTCTGCCTAGCTAAAGATACAGCAGACATTTATTGTGCACATTGTACATGTCTAGCAGGGTATGGTTAATTTGGGTATAAATTTTATTCTAATGCAATTATTTTGTATCAATGGTTCTGATTGGATGACAATGAGTGTAAAATTCTCTATTTCCCTGTCTGTAACTAAGGAAACAGACATTTGGATACCGGAATGTATTGACATGTGATTTCTTCAATAATAAGCCAAAAAAACTAACATTTTGCATTTAGAATAAAATTGAGAATGGAAATGGGGAATGTGTCAAAGAGACAACAACCCGACCATAGAACAGACAACAGCAGAAGGTCACCAACAGGTCTTCAATGCAGCGAGAAATTCCCGCATTCTTTTTATCAAGTTTTATTACATTCTGAAGCGGACAAGAAGTTAAAAAACGTCCGGTGTTTGCGTTTGATGCTGGAAGCATACCTATGATGTCACCTACTTTAGGCACCAAAGAAGATACATGTCACATCATTCGCGGAATTTTCGTTTAATGAATATTTTACACTGAAATAATGACTAAACTTGAATGACTTGTTTATTTTGCATTTGAATAAAGATAACTGTATTGTATTTGAAGCTTTGCGGACATCCATCCGCAGTTTTACTGTCGCAAATATCTGTTTACCAGCCTCAGCTACGCGTCACCAGGTAAAATATATTAGCGACAGTAAAACTACCGATGGACGTCCGCAAAGATTACAATACAATACAGTTATCTCTAAATTTTATTTTCGTCCGGAATATGCATGAAATATTTGCCACTGGACATTAAGGAACCAACAATCAATCAATTTTATTCATTTTGAAAAATTGCTCAACTGATTTTTTTAATGCTTGTTACTGCTTTCTGTCTGACAAAAAGTCAAGATATCTTTCTTCAAACATAATATTCATTATATTAAATGAATTGGACCTTAATGTTGTTTTATTCTTAGACAATTTATAGCAATGCATATATATATAGTATAGATGCCTTTCTTTTACATTAAATTGGGAATGGAAATGGGGAATGTGTCAAAGAGACAACAACCCGACCATAGAGCAGAAAACAGCCGAAGGCAACTAATGGGTCTTCAATGCAGCGAGAAACTCCTGCACCCGGAGGCGTCCTTCAGCTGGCCCCTAAACAAATATGTAAACTAGTTCAGTGATAATGGACGTCATACTAAACTCCAAATTATACACAAGAAACTAAAATTAAAAATGATACAAGACTAACAAAGGCCAGAGGCTCCTGACTTGGGACAGGCGCAAAAATGCGGCGGGGTTAAACATGTTTTTTGAGATCTCAACCTTCCCTCTAAAAAAACGTACAACAGTACGCTCAGTTCAAGAGAAGTCTGAGTCCGATGTCAGAATAGGAAACAAAAGAAAATAAACAAAATGACAATAATACATAAATAACAACAGACTACTAGCAGTTACTGACATGCCAGCTCCAGACCTCAATTAAACATGTATATTTAAAACAAGAATCTGTCCATAGTAAACAGATGCCCCACTCACACTACTGGACCGTGAAATTGGTGTCAAAACACTAATTCGGCATTATAATTCTCATATCTTAGGGAACATGTGTGCTAAGTTTCAAGTTGATTGGACCTCAACTTCTTTAAAAACTAACTTGACCAAAAACTTTAACCTGAACTGGAACGGATGGGCGCACAGACCGAAAAAAATTATGCCCATAATTTGGGCATAAAAATGTATGTACAACAATGTAGCTCTCTAGATGCCTTTTGATTACTTATGTCATTTGGTTTGCTGTCTCATTGATTTTGTTTCCCATATCTCCTTTTATTCATATCAATATAATGTGTTAGGATATGACTGAAAAATTACAATATGTCTAGAGGCAGAAAATACACCTTTCTACAGTTAAATTTGACCTAACCAAATTGGACATTTCACACGAAGAATGCATTTTTATTTAATTCTATCATAATGGTCTTCTGAACAAGTAGCATAGAAACTAAACAAAAGCAAATTTAGGAAAAATATCCACGTCATTTGAACTCTTGTGGATAGCTTTCTCATTGGCAATCATACCACATCTCCTTAATATTTTAGATAGTACAATATATGTTGACTGGGGATTGCTTTATACCGAATACTGTGGCAAATACTAGATATGCTTTATTACATTTAATTCAGATTGGGAGAAATGTGCAGTCACATTGCTGCAGTTCTGTTTAAAATAGAGTTAGGAGTTAGATATGGTGTGACACAAAAATCAGTTACTAGTGAAGAATGTAAATGGAACAAAGTTTTTAGAAAACAGGTATAATTTATAATATAGGAGTTGGACTTCTTCTTTGAGTATTTTTGATCTACACTAAAAAAAAACAATACTGTGGTGGAAAGGCTATGTATCACATAATAGATGATACTGATTGGTTGAGTTGTGACCATGATTTTGTTAGTTTACCAGTAAATAAATAAATACGCACACTATTTTCTGATGTTGATTATTAAAAATTGTATACAATATTCAAACAATTCATAACAACATCACTGTTCTTTACTCTGTAACCATCAATAATTCCACACTTTCTTCTCTCACTCAAACCATTTAATGATTATTCAACTTAATCATTTGGTAATGAAAATATTGATAAAATAAAAATTCAGCAATTTTTCTATTTGTAAACACGCATAACTCTAGAAAGGTTGTGTATATGTTTTATAACATTTGGTTGAGACAAACTAAAGTTAGAGAACGGAAACAAAAAATTCAGCAATTTTTATGTTTATATAGGGACATAACTCAAGAATGGTAAAAGTGACACCACCAAATTTCGTACTTAATCTGTATTATGTAGTAATAAGCATTGTGTATAAGTTTAGCGAATGGAAACGAAAAATTCAGCAATTTTTTTTTTTTGTAAAGGGGGCATAACCCTAGAACGGTAATCAAACAGCTTGTAAGCACTGAATGGTAAAGATTGCTTTAATTTATCAGTAGGAAGTAAAATTGAATATTGCATTGTATAAAGCATTGGTTGTAGTTGATTTAACTACCATTATGCACAAAGAAAGATAACTCCAATTTTCAAAGAAGACTATGAAATATTTTTAGGAATGAAGGATAAAGATTGCTTTAATTTATCAGTAGGAAGTAAAATTGAATATTATGCACAAAGAAAGATAACTCCAATTTTCAAAGTAGACTATGAAATATTTTTAGGAATGAAGGATAAAAATTGCTTTAATTTATCAGTAGAAGGCAAAATTAAACATTGCATCGTATAAAGCATTGATTGTAGTTGATTCAACTATAATATTGTACAAAGGAAGATAACTCCAATTTTAAAAATTACTTGATATTTAGAAAAAAAAATGAAAAATTTAGCAATTTTTCCATTCGTAAAGGGCATAACTCTAGAACAGTAAAAGTGACTGCACCAAAATTCAAACTTGATCTGTATATTGTGTTGATAAGCATTGTGTATAAGTTTCATATTATTTGTTTGAGGCAAACTTAAGTAAGAGAATGGAAACGAAAAAGTTAGTAATTTTTTCATTTGTAAAGGGGCATAACTCTAAAACGGTAAAAGTGACGCCACCAAAATTCAAACTTGATCTGTATTTAGTGGTAATAAGCATTGTGTTTAAGTTTCTTAACATTTGGTTGAGGCAAACTAAAGTTAGAGAACGGAAACAACTTTGGGACGTACGTACGTACAGACGGACAAGGGTAAAACTTAATGCTCCTACGCTACGGTGGGGGCATAAAAAAGGAAAATGTGTCCCCATGGACACAGATGATGCCCCACTTGCATACAACATTATAAAGGGACATAACTCAAAAACAATAAAAATGACCCTACCCAAATTTGTACCAGATCTGAGTTTTGTGGTAATAAGTATCATGTATAGGTTTCATAATGTTTGGTTGGGGCAAACTTAAGTTACAGAACGGAAACTAAAAATTTTGCAATTTTTGGATTTATAAAGGGGCATAACTCGATAATGGTTAAAGTGACGCTACCAAAATTCAACTTGATCTGTGTTTTGTGGTAATGAGCATTGTGTATAAGTTTCATAACATTTGGTTGAGGCAACTTAAGTTAGAGAACGGAAACACAGGCACTTGTCTCCGAAAAAAATTTATATAAAGGTATGTAGGGGAAAAAAATTCTGAGTTTTGTGGTAATAAGTATCATGTATAGGTTTCATAATGTTTGGTTGGGGCAAACTTAAGTTAGAAAACGGAAACTAAAAATTTTGTAATTTTTTCATTTATAAAGGGGCATTACTCTAGAATGGTATAGGTGACGCCACCCAAATTCAAACTTGATCTGTGTTTTGTGGTAATTAAAATTATGTATAAGTTTCGTAACATTTGGATGAGGTAAACTTAAGATAGAGAACGGAAACGAAAAATTCAGCAATTTTTCCATTTGTAAAGGGGCATAACTCCAGAAAGGTATGAATGACGCTACCCAAATTCAAACTTCATCTATGGTTTGTGGTTAAAATCATTGTGTATAAGTTTTATAATATTTGGTTGAGACAAATTAAGTAAGAGAACGGAAACCAATTTCGGGACGTACGGACGGACATATGTATAGACAGACATGGGTTAAACTTAATGCCCCATCCGCTACGGCGGGGGCATAAAAATAAAGCACTCAAAAACTTCTACTTTGATAAAATCAAATAAAGTAAAATTTTGGACACTTTGGACCTCAATGTGGAACAATTTGAAAACCAGGCCCAAATATATCAAATCCAAATACATAGTTTGATTTAGCATATTAAAGAATCCCACGAATTAAAAACTTTGAATTATCAACCGCCTTGAAATTGGTCCCAAAAAAAGAAATTTATACCAAGTCTTAACAAGAGGTTGTCAGAGAGACAGCAAACTGGATTTTCCTGCAGAGGTCTAACCCTGAACAGTTTAGCAAGTATGGACACTACATTTAAACTTAAAACAGCTCTGAATTTGGATTGTGATTGAATAATTGACACATTTTATTTTTTTGACACAAAATGAATGTAGTCAAAGAACTGATATATTTGAAATTGGACATTTAAATACCTATTATGGTCCAATATCCAAAATCTAAGTACATATTAGAATCAGCATATCAAAGAAACCCAAGAATTCAATTTTTGATGAAATCAGACAAAAGTTTAATCTAGGACCCTTTGGGCCTCAATGTGGACCAATTTGATAAAGGAGCCCACAATCCAAAATCTCTCAATACATGGTTAGATTCAGCATTTCAAAGAACCCCATAAATTCAATTTTTGTCGAATCGAACAAAGTTTAATTTTGGACCCTGATTTGGACCAACTTGAAAACTGGGCCTTAAAATCTAATATTTAAATAGAGTTTAGATTCAGCATTTGAAAGAACCCTATATATATATTTAATTTATGTTGAAATGAAACACAGGTTAATTTTATCCATGATATTTTCTGTGCAAATGGAAATAACTCAAACTGGATAAATAGTTACTAAAATAAGATATGATGCAATGTTTCAAATTATAATCAATAATATAATAACAACAACCAGTGATGACTAAGTTCTATAAAATTAGATATGATTTAACACTCAAACATTGTTAGAATCAGCATATCAAAGAACCAAAGAATTCAATATTTGATGAAATTAAACAAAAGTTTAATTTAGGACCCTTTGGACCTCAATGTGGTATTATCTTATTAATAATGAAAAGCTCAACCGTTTACAAGTTCTTCAACAGGAGGGGGGTGGGGTGACCCAAGGGGACTCACCTTATATTTCATTTGATTTGTTTTATTGTCCCATACAAGAATATATATGGTTTCGGGGTGGGGATCCTGACCATTTACAAGTTTTCAAAAAGAAGGGGGGTGGGGGTTACCCCAGGGGACTTCCCTTCAATTTCATTTGATTTATTTAAATGTCCCATTCAAGAATATATATGGTTTAGGGGTGGGGATCTCGACCGTTTACAAGTTATCAAAAAGGGGTGGGGGTTACCCCCATGGACTTCCCCAATATTTCATTTGATTTGTTTTATTGACCCATACAAGAATATATATGGTTCAGGGGTGGGGATCTCGACTGTTTACAAGTTATCAAAAAGGGGGGTGGGGGTGACCCCCTGGACTTCCCCCATATTTCATTTGATTAGTGTTATTGTCCCATACAAGAATATATATGGTTTAGGGGTGAGGATCTCGACCGTTTACAAGTTCTCAAACAGGATGGGGTGGGGTTGACCCCAGGGACTTGCCTTATATTTCATTTGATTTGTTTTATTGTCCCATACAAGAATATATATGGTTTCAGGGTGGGGATCTTGACCGTTTACAAGTTTTCAAAAAGAAGGGGGGTGGGGGGTGGTCCTGGGGACTCCCCCAATATTTCGTTTGATTTGTTTTATTGTCCCATACAAGAATATATACAGTTATGGGGTGGGGATCTCGACTGTTTACAAGATAAAACTCAAATTTATTTCCATGAACCAGTAACAAAACAACAAAATAATTCTCTAAAATTAGATATGACTTAACCACTCATAAATCTCTAAAATTAGATATGATTTTATATCTATCAATTAAACACATCACTTTTCAAAACAAAAAACTCAAACTTATTTACATAAACCAATAAATAAAATGCTCCGCTGGGCGCAGCTTGATACGACTGCAGAGGTCGAACCCTGAACAGTTGGGGCAAGTATGGACACAACATTCCAGCTTGGTACAGCTCTGAATTTGGATTGTGATTAAATATTTGACACAGCATAGGTTTCTGACACAGAAAAAAATGTGGTCTAAGAATTTGATTTTTTTTAATTTACCTATTATGGTCCAATGTCCAAAATCAAAATACATGGTTAGATTCAGCATATCAAAGAACCCCATATATTCAATTTTTGTTGAAATCAAACAAAGTTTAATTTTGGACCCCAACTTGGACAAACTTGAAAACTGGGCACATAATCAAAAATCTAAACACATGTTTAGATTCAGCATATCAAAGAACCCCAAGAATTCAATTTTTGTTAAAATCAAACTAAGTTTAATTTTGGACCCTTTGGACCTTGATGTAGACCAATTTAAAAAACGGGACCCAAAATTAAAAATCTAAAAACACGGTTAGATTTGGAATATCAAAGAACCCCAATAATTCAATTTTTGATGAAATCAAACAAAGTTTAATTTTGGACCCTTTTGACCTCAATATGAACCAATTTGATAGCGGGGCCCACAAATAAAAAATCTAAATACATGGTTAGATTCAGCATATCAAAGAACCCCATATATTCAATTTTTGTTGAAATCAAAAAAAGTTGAATTTTGGACCCCAACTTGGACAAACTTGAAAACTGGGCCCATAATCAAAAATCTAAACACATGTTTAGATTCAGCATATCAAAGAACCCAAAGAATTCAATTTTTGTTAAAATCAAACTGAGTTTAATTTTGGACCCTTTGGACCTTAATGTAGACCAATTTAAAAAACGGGACCCAAAATTAAAAATCTTAAAACACGGTTAGATTTGGCATATCAAAGAACCCCAATAATTCAATTTTTGATGAAATCAAACGAAGTTTAATTTTGGACTCTTTTGACCTCAATATGAACCAATTTGATAGCGGGGTCCACAAATAAAAAATCTAAATACATGGTTAGATTCAGCATATCAAAGAACCCCATATATTCAATTTTTGTTGAAATCAAACAAAGTTTAATTTTGGACCCCAATTTGGACCAACTTGAAAACTGGGCCAAAAATCAAAAATCTAAATACATGTTTAGATTCAGCATATCAAAGAACCCCATATATTCAATTTTTGTTGAAATAAAAAAAAGTTGAATTTTGGACCCCAACTTGGACAAACTTGAAAACTGGGCCCATAATCAAAAATCTACACACATGTTTAGATTCAGCATATCAAAGAACCCAAAGAATTCAATTTTTGTTAAAATCAAACTAAGTTTAATTTTGGACCCTTTGGACCCTTTGGACCTTAATGTAGACAAATTTAAAAAACGGGACCCAAAATTAAAAATCTAAAAACACGGTTAGATTTGGCATATCAAAGAACCCCAATAATTCAATTTTTGATGAAATCAAACAAAGTTTAATTTTGGACCCTTTTGACCTCAATATGAACCAATTTGATAGCGGGGTCCACAAATAAAAAATCTAAATACATGGTTAGATTCAGCATATCAAAGAACCCCATATATTCAATTTTTGTTGAAATCAAACAAAGTTTAATTTTGAACCCAAATTTGGACCAACTTGAAAACTGGGCCCAAAATCAATCCCAACTACTTTTTTTTTTTGGTATGGTACCTTGTGGTACAATTTTATAGAGATCTGTTCACCTTTACTCAAGTTATTGTCTGGAAACCAAATGTCTTCTGAAATGACACCTATATATTCTTACAACGTCATAACATTTTATGGATAAAAATTACATGCTTTTCTTGACTGGTGATAACTTTACACACTTAACAAATTATCAAATTTTGTGTAAACTTTATTTCATAGAATTTATACAATTCCTATTATATGATATTTTGTATTTTCAATTGGATAGCTTCTATCCTTTTATATGCCTGATACATGTACAAAGTCTTGATTGGATAAGTACTAGTAGGCTATACTACAGGATTAGTCCTTATTATGGTGTTACTTTAAAGTTATGTCACTTCAACTTTACATGCAATAAACTTATTAAACGAATGGCTCATTACAAGCATGAAAAAACTAGAGGCTCTAAAGAGCCTGTGTCGCTCACCTTGGTCTAAGTGCATATTAAACAAAGGACACAGATGGATTCATGACAAAATTGTGTTTTGGTGATGGTGATGTGTTTGTAGATCTTACTTTACTGAACATTCTTTCTCCTTACTATTATCTCTATCTATAATGAACTTGGCCCGGTAGTAACAGTGGAAAATATATTGTAAAAATTTACAAAAATTTACAAAATTTATGAAAATTGTAAAAAATTGACTATAAAGGGCAATAACTCCTTAAGGGGTCAATTGACAATTTTGGTCATGTTGACTTATTTGTAGATCTAACTTTGCTGTACATTATTGCTGTTTACAGTTTATCTCTATCTATAATAATATTCAAGATAATAACCAATAAAATGCTTCGCTGGGGCGCACCTTGATACGACCGCAGAGGTCGAACCCTGAACAGTTGGGGCAAGTATGGACACAACATTCAAGCTTGATACAGCTCTGAATTTGGATTGTTATTAAATATTTGACACAGCATAGGTTTTTGACACAGAAAGAATGTGGTCTAAGAACTTGAATTTTTTTAATTTACCTATTATGGTCCAATGTCCAAAATCAAAATACATGGTTCATATATTCAATTTTTGTTGAAATCAAAAAAAGTTTAATTTTGGACCCCAACTTGGACCAACTTGAAAACTGGGCCCATAATCAAAAATCTAAACACATGTTTAGATTTAGCATATCAAAGAACCCTAAGAATTCAATTTTTGTTAAAATCAAACTAAGTTTAATTTTGGACCCTTTGGACCTAAATGAAGGCCAATTTTAAAAAATGGGACCCAAATTAAAAATCTAAAAACACGGTTAGATTTGGCATATCAAAGAAACCCAATAATTCAATTTTTGATGAAATCAAACAAAGTTTAATTTTAGACCCTTTTGACCTCAATATGAACCAATTTGATAGAGGGGCCCACAAATAAAAAATCTAAATACATGGTTAGATTCAGCATATCAAAGAACCTCATATATTCAATTTTTGTTGAAATCAAACAAAGTTTAATTTTGGACCCCAATTTGGACCAACTTGAAAACTGGGCCCATAATCAAAAATCTAAATACATGTTTAGATTCAGCATATCAAAGAACCCCAAGAATTCAATTTTTGTTAAAATCAAACTAAGTTTAATTTTGGACCCTTTGGACCTTAATGTAGACCAATTTAAAAAACAGGACCCAAAATTAAAAATCTAAATACACGGTTAGAATTGGAATATCAAAGAACCCCAATAATTCAATTTTAAATGAAATCAAACAAAGTTTAATTTTGGACCCTTTTGACCTTAATATGAACCAATTTGATAACGGGGTCCACAAATAAAAAATCTAAATACATGGTTAGATTCAGCATATCAAAGAACCTCATATATTCAATTTTTGTTGAAATCAAACAAAGTTTAATTTTGGACCCCAATTTGGACCAACTTGAAAACTGGGCCCATAATCAAAAATCTAAATACATGTTTAGATTCAGCATATCAAAGAGCCTCATATATTCAATTTTTGCTAAAATCAAACAAAGTTTAATTTTGGACCCTTTGGACCTCAATGAAGACCAATTTGAAAACTGGACCCAAAATTAAAAATCTAAATACACTGTTAGATTCGGCATAATAAATAAATAAATGTGATCAAAGATTTTACAAATCTAATGCGCCATACTGTGCAATTAAAGATTACTTCTTGAAATTTTTCAATATTTGAAATTTGAAAAAAAAAAAAATGTTTGAAGAATAATTCTTTTTAATTTCTGAAATCTGAAATGAGAAAAAATTGACCTCCCACAATTTTTTTTTATCCCCCCCCCCTCTTTTTTCCCCCAAAAAATACTTTCCCTCACGTTTGGTCATAATCTCAATTCAAATTTCCAATGGAGTTGGCAACCATAATTACCCATTTAAATTTACCATAGTGCTAACTTAATCTATTTTATAATAGAATTAAAAATATAGTGTCAAATCTTTCATATGGATTTTTTTGTAAAAAAAAAAAGATGCAACATTTGCAGATATTTTTACTGGTCTTCCTTTATAAATATGCATTTCTTTAAACATAATTTAAAAGCAGTGTAAGGGAAGTAACCAAAACGTTGTATTTGGATTACCTCCCTTACACTGTTTTAAATTATCTTTATTGTTCATTAACCATTACTTTATACATAATTTAAAAGCAGTGTAAGGGAGATAATTTCAATGATGTATTTGATTTATCTCCCTTACACTACTTTAAATTATGTTTTGTACTAAAGTATTTGTCCATTAACCAGGACAACCTTGTTTTTCCCCCTTTTTTGCCCCTAATTCCTAAACGGTTTGAGCCATAACCCCCCAAAGCAAATCCTAACCATCCCTTTGTGGTATGGAAACTTGTAGTATAATTTCAGAGAGATCCATACACCGTTCCACAGTTATTGTCTGGAAACTAGAAAATGCTTATTTTTGGCCCCTTTTTGGTCCCTAATTCCTTAACTGTTGGTACCATAACCCCCAAAATCAATCCCAACCTTCCTTTTGTGGTATTTAACCTTATGGTCAAATTTCAAAAAGATCCATTCACTTAAACTAAAGTTAGAGTGCGAAACCAATGTGTCTTCGGACGACGACGCCGGACGACGACGACGACGACGCCAACCTCATACCAATATACGAACACAAAATTTTTTTGCGGTCGTATAAAAACGGCAAAATTTTCTTAAAATTACCAATTCAGGGGCAGCAACCCAACAACGTGTTGCCTGATTGGTCTGAAAATTTCAGGGCAAATAGATCTTGACCTAATGAACAATTTTATCCTCATCAGATTTGCTCTAAATGCTTTGGTTTCAGAGATATGAGCCAAAAACAGCATTTTACCCTATGTATTATTTTTTAGCCATGTCGGCCATCTTGGTTCGCGGGCCGGGTCATCGGACACATTTTTTAAACTAGATACCCCAATGATGATTGTGGCCAAGTTTGGTCAAATTTGGCCCAGTAGTTTCAGAGGAGAAGATTTTTGTAAAAGTTTACGGACGACAGACGCAAAGTGATGAGAAAAGCTCACTTGACCTTTCAGGTCAGGTGAGCTAAAAAGTCATGTCACTTCAACTTAACAATAACATTATCAAACCAATGACTCATTACAAGCATGAAAAAAAAGTCATGTCACTTCAACTTTACAATAAACTTATTAAGCGAATGGCTCATTACAAGCATTGAAAAAAAAAAATAACTTATTCACAAACACTTGCAAATCTTTCAACTGATTATAATGATTAATAAGACAATAAGACAATAATACATGTATAATAAACTATACATAGTTATCAAGTGTAGTCTATATCAGGTGTACAAAGAGAGATAACTTTTATTAGTTCTTAATTAAGGTTGGAGTGTTGTATATAAAATTGAAAATACAAGACTGGTTTTCTCAAGTTATTTATATACAGAAACTGTAAAGCATACAAAAAGTTATGTCACTTCAACTTTACAATAAACTTATTAAACAAATGAATCATTACAAGCATGAAAAAAATATATAACTTATTCACAAACACTTGCAAATCTTTCAACTGATTATAATGATTAATGAGACAATAAGACAATAATACATGTACAATAAACTATACAAAGTTATCAAGTGTAGTCTATATCAGGTGTACAAAGAGTGATAACACTTATTAATTCTTAATTAAGGTTGGAGTCTTGTATAAGTTGAAAATACAACACTGGTTTTCTCAAGTTATTGATATACAGAAACTGTAAAGCATACAAAAAAAAAAGAATTATTTAATAAATACTTGACTCTGTTACTTAACTGTCTTTACTTTAAAATTGAGTTTAAACAGTCTGAAAAACTCTCAACAAGGGAAAGATAAGTCAAAAGTCTGTTTAAATTTGGCCCAGTAATTACAGAAAGATTTGTGGTAAAGTTAATGGACGACGACAGATGCCAAGAGATGGGAAAATCTCACTTGGCCTTTTGGGCCAGTAAGCTAAAAATTGATATCTTTGTGTTGTTAGGTTGATGTCAGCTCAATTATGGATATACAGCACCTTATGAACAGTAACAGAAAAAAAAAATTGGAATGTGTTATACCATCAAGCAAAGATCCATTACCAGGCAAAGATGTGTTAGAATCTTTCTCTAAGGTGTGTCCTAATGCTGCATTCTTTTCTCTCATTCCTCCAATGAATGATGAAGTAACTAGAGAAACATCAGTCAAGGTTAAACATACAAAAGAAGAAAAATTACCTAGACCTCTTACAAGTTATTATGATGTCATTAATAAAGAACTAACTGAACAGGAATTAATCAACAAATCAGATCAACTTTTTAGGAACTATCATTGCTCATCTTCTCAATCTGCAAATTTATTCAAAATTACTGAATCTCAAAATATAAGTACCCTTTGGTTTGAACACAGAAAAGGTCGAATAACAGCTTCAAAAGCTCATGAGGTTTTAACATTAAGACCAACTACAAATCCTAATAAATTGATCATGAGACTTGCAGGATACAACTCATATGATCTCAGTAAAAAAGAGGCCATAAAATGGGGGCTGGAAAATGAAGCAACAACCAGAGATGCCTACATCCAATATATGGAAAAAAAACATACAAATTTTGAGTGTAAATTATCTGGGTTGAAGATATCTGAAAAAAATTATTTTCTTGGTGCTTCAGCTGATGGTGTGATTTCATGCAATTGTTGTGGACAAGGAACCCTTGAGATTAAATGTCCCCACAAGCATAAAGACAAAACTTCAATAGAAGCTGCAAAACAAGACCCTACATTTTGTTTGGACACAAACTTACACTTGAAAAATAACCACAAATATTACACTCAGGTTCAGTTTCAGATGTTTGTCTATGACACTGATTATTGTGATTTTGTTGTAATGACAAGTCCTAATGATGTTATTTTGCTTGCTATTGTTAGAATTAATCATTTAATAAGTAAGTGCACTTACTTTGTTAAAGAGCTATTAATCCCAGAGCTACTTACCTGGAAATTGCTACATGATTATAAAGTAGCCAACACTTCAGTCAATGACGTCACAAAAGAGAAGTATTGCTTGTGTGAAGAACCAGAATATGGCAAGATGATTTTTTGTGATGGAGACTCATGTGATATTGGATGGTTCCATTATCAATGTGTTAACATTGTAAGGAAACCAAGGGGAAAGTGGCTTTGTCCAAAATGTAAAAAATAATTTGTGGAAGTAGTGTGCCATCAAACATATTTACAAAATAACCTCTTCTTGAAGCATGGATAACACTTGGTGTACCACTTAATACTTGAATAAATTTTTTCTAGACAATTTTAGTTTAGGATTCTGGATTTTCATTTATCCATTATAATTGAAAAATTTTTACATCATATTTTCAAAAGAATTTTTTTTTCCAGAATTAATTTCACAACGATTTTTTAGTCTTTCAATCTGTTCCAAAATTAATATAATAACAACTTCAAGTGTATTGCGAGGTTCTCATAAGATTTTGGATTTTTTTTTATAAATTTGATATTGTTAATTTTGTAGATAAATTGAACATTTATCTGAAACTGGATAAGGATACATTCTTAACAAAAATAAAAAAAAATCTTTTTGAAATATATTATCATTGGCGGATCCAGAAATTATCATAAAGAGGGGGCACTGACTGCCTTAGAGGGGCCAGCTCCAGTCATGCTTCAGTGATTTCCTATATAATGAACCAAATTTTTTCAAACAAAAGAGGGGACACCCTGCCCCACCCTTAATCCGTTTCTGATTATGGGTGCATTGTATGTATCTGCAAAAGGCATATTCCAAAAAAAAAATTGTAAAGAGTTGTAAGTCTCAAAATCAAGTGATTGAGTTTCTTAATAGGTTATATGGTCAATTTTTCATAAAAGCTTTACAGTAAATGAAAAACAAGTATACCTAGTAATAACAATACTCCTTCTACTGTTTATTTAAATGTCAGACACCAATATTTTTCAGCACCTTATAAGATTCATTGAAAAATAATAATGCTGAACAAAAAAATCTGCAGAACAATTATCTTTCGGTGATGCCTCAGCAATTTTTGCTACAATAACTTCTTGAATTTGAATACAGATATCAAAAATTGAATTTGTTTTAAAAGTCAATGTTGGCTAGACAAAACAACAAGAAACATGTTGTTATGTACATGATGAGATATGAAAATTAGTAATTTTAAGGCCATGGAAAAAAGATTGTTGGTTTACCTAAAGTCTGTTGGGTCTGTTTTCACCCTCCAGTAATACTTGCTCTTAAACTATAAATGATCCTTGTCTGACCATTTCTCAAAATAATGTTTTATTTATCATTCTTCAAGTTTAAAGTAGGTGACATCACAATATAGATCAGATATGATGTCAACATTTTTCTTGTAGTCTGGTAGATATTTCGAACTACAATAATAGAAAAATAAAGTTTTTCTTGCCTGCTGACCTTTTAAAATTTTCTTGTGTTAGGGGAAACCAATATTAAATTTTCAATGGCCTTACCTATAATCAAGGGAAATGTGTTAATCTGTTATTGAACAATATTAGGGTGCATATTTATAATAGCAGAGCAAATTGTCATGATACTGTCAGAATGTGGCACCATATTCAATGACATCTTTCCAGACAAAATACGGAAATTTTTCAGTCGTTCCATTTCTCTTTCAACATGAATTCTTACATGTGCAATATTTCGGCTTCTTTCCACTTCAAAGGCACTTAGCTGGTCTTTTCCCTTTACAAATGATGGTATAATTAATTCAGCCCCTCTCGATGCTAATTCATCTTTAATAAGAAAGCCACGGTCTGCTAGGACAACATCACCATGATGTATAAAGTCAAGGTAACCGGATTTAAGAGAAATCAATTTATCTGGAGTCCTCCCCCAAATGCACGTGAAACAAAAGAAATACTTCCACACGGAACAATACTGACTAAAAACTTAATTGTATTGTGGTGCTTATAGTTACTGTAAGTACAAGATCTGGCTGTAAAATTTGATGGAGTCTCTATATAAACTTCTGTACAGTCAATAACAGAAACACATCTGGGAAAGGCCTCCTTAAAGCAATCTGGTCTAGAGCGTAAAATATCATCTTTATTTGGCCAATGAATCAACCATTTTAATTTGTGGGCTAATTGAGGGATGACACTGTCAATTAAATTGGTAACTAAACTAAGAGAAACTCCAAAACGAAATGAGATATCAGTATGTGGAGAATTTAAACGTAATTTCATTAAAACCAAAAGAAGAATGTCTGCTGAACTCAAAATATTGGAAGAAGGTAAAATACAGGTCACAAAGTTCACCAACCAAATAAAACATGTATAAGATGGCAATCCGGTATAAAATTTTGTTGTTTCTTCTGTTTTCTCCAGGGATAGACTAGAAGCCCTCATATAAGGTGGTTTATTATTTAAAACATTTTTTTCTAACTGCAGTTGTTGAAGTTGATCTATTAGGATTTTGTTTTCACTTTTGGCATTTTTTAATAATATACTGCAATTTTCATATTCTCCTTTACCTGAAATGTAAAGAGTTATAAATTAACCAAAAATACTATAAACATTTCCATTTGGCAACAAGGACACTTGAAACTTTTCTTAAATTACATCAGCATGATAAGGGTCAAATGACTTTTACTGAAATAATTTACTTTTGTGTGGCTTGTAAACATAATGTAACTTGTACTATAAAATCATTTCCTTGTTTTACTTTTATAAAAATGTCTAAATTATATATCAAATTTGCAGTTTTCCAATTAAGAAAACCAGATTCACTTTGAGCTTTTGGATACTAATAAAGGATGAATTAAACATCAAAGTAACTGAAAAGTGTCACAAGGAACAGCATAACCTGATGAAGGTTGGTGTCATATACCAAGAAGTTGTTTTTACAAGTGCATGGTCTATTTTCTGAATAAAATTGACATTTATCCATTGTAAATGAGCTTGTGTCTGTCCCAAGTGAGGAGCCTATAGTTCAGTGGTTATGATTGGTTCATGTATGCCATATTTGCTTTTAGAATTTCCTTTGCGGTAAATTAAGCTTGTGTGTGTGTGTGTGTGTGTTTGTTTGTTTGTTTGATTAGTTGTCTTATTGGCAATCATACCACATCTCATTATTTTTGTACTAACATTTTAAAGAAATAGTTTGCAGTAGACAGGGATTAAAACATCAAAAAATATTAACAAGTACATGTATAGGTACCATACAGCCTTAACCAATGTGCAAAATTAATACTGATGATATATTAAGCTATCTTCATAGAGTCCTAGGAAAAATATAAAATGTATGATAAATTTGTTGCCTTTTCATCTCTGTACAAAAAACATTGTTTATTGCACTACTTGATTATGGATTTTATTGCAATTGAATACATTGTGGTATGTATATACATTTTTTTTTAAATATACGCTGTGCAGCATTTAAATTAACTGCTAATAAATTATTAATGGAGAAACTGAAGGCAACAAGTCCAAAAAGATTATTAACCCTATGAACACATAAGAATAGTAAACTAAGTTCTGGTACCATTTTTGTCTTCCATGTCTACATTGCAGTCTAAGTCTTGTAATGGCAGATGATCATTTTCTTTGCCATCAGCTGTCATCAATAAGTCCAACTGCATTCTGCATTCTCTCTCCTTTTGATCAGCAGTTCTTTTAACAGCTCTTTTATATCTTTTAAAAAATAGTGAAAATGTTACAATAAACTGAAACCAGAACTTACTTTGGATACAAATTTTAAGTATTTCTTTTCAAATTAGTAACTGTAGACTACAACATCACTTACTGTGAATTTAGTACTTAGTGAATTGCTGTCTATAAATGAATGATTTTTTTGAAGTATTTGCAATTAGTGTATCATAGATGTATTTTATATTCAATTGTTGATTAATATTCTCAAGTTTCTATTATTTTATTTGGCCTAATAAAAGACTTATAATATATCTAAGGCCAAAAAAAAAAAAATAATATGTGTGTTTCCTATTACATCTTTGAAAAAAATAGGGTAGGTAGGTAGGGTTTTTTTTTTATTTTACCATTTTTATTACATTGAGTCTATGGGAGGGACATTCTGACTTTAAAAGTGCAAACTGAAAAATGACAAAAAAAAACTTTAGGGTAGGCTATTTTTGAGCTTAAAAAATAGGGAGGGTAGGGTAATAGGAAACACACATCTTTTTTTATTTTTATCACAAAAAGCTGTAAACTATATATATGGTTGTATAATGAAAACTGTGAATTGGAATATTATTTAAAAACTAAAGATGATAGAAACATTTTATTACATTAGGCCAAGTAAATTTAATTAGTAGATTTTCATCCAAATTTTTTAAAAAAATGGGGTGGGTGGGAGGATTTTATTTTTTATTTTTTATTAGATATGAAACGCTCTTGTGACGTGTTCTTCATATATGCAAGTGTAATAATAAGGTTCTATCATGTATATACATGTATAACGAATCAAACATACAAAGAAATGCAAAAACCAAAATTTGAAACAGGATGTTATTAATGAAACGAAATTATCGACAGTTACCGGTAACGAAAATGAACAAAATCTGAAAATCGTAAATTTTTCAAAATAAAAAAAATTCGGGCGGAACGATTTGAGAGGGGCGGGCGGGGATGAAAATCTATCAATTAATTTTAATTGGCCTTAGGTAGGTTGAGACTGGTAGATGGCATAATATTGCAAGTGATAATATGAAATACTTATGTATAACTCTGTAGATATCAGATGAATTTCTTTCTATTTGTAAATGTCCTATATTTAATGATGATCATAAATAGTTATTGAGAAAAGAAATATACTAATCAACCAAATTTACTACATATACATCATGTACATTATGTAATTTTTATTGTGTGTACATGTATCTCTTTAACAGTGTAATATGGTATGCTGATAAATAAAGATATAAAACATTGATTCATACCTAAATCTTGTTTAAAACACTTTCCCATTATTGATATATAAAAAAGAAGATGTGGTATGATTGCCAATGAGACAACTCTCTACAAGAGACCAAATGACACAGAAATTAACAACTATAGGTCACCGTACAGCCTTCAACAATGAGCAAAGTTCATACTGCACAGTCAGCTTTAAAAGGCCCTGAAATGACAATGTAAAACAATTCAAACGAGAAAACTAGCGGCCTAATTTATGTACAAAAAATGAACAAAAAACAAATATGTAACACATAAACAAACGACAACCGCTGAATTACAGGCTCCTGACTTGGGACAGGCACATACATACAGAATGTGGCGGGGTTAAACATGCTAGCGGGATCCCAACCCTCCCCTAACCTGGGACAGTGGTGTAACAGTACAACATAAGAACGAACTATAACAAGAGTGCACACGCTGAAATGTATCGCCTTCTTTACTAATCATTGATATTATGTTGATAGTCCTAAATATAAAGCTTTACTACAACTATCACAAACACTTGACATGATCCAAGAAAATGAGGTCAAGGTCATATAAACCAAACAAGAAATACATGTACACCTTACAATCATTCAATACACTAAATATTGTTGACCTTTTGTTTATAGTTTCTAAGATACAGGCTTAACCAAGAAAACTAAACATTGACCAATGAACCATGAAAATGAGGTCAAGGTCAGATGAACCATGCCAGGCAGACATGTACAGCTTGCAATCCTTCCATACAACAAATATAGTTGACCTATTGCTTATAGTATTAGAAAAACAAACCAAAACACAAAAATTAACACTGAGCAATGAACCGTGAAAATGAGGTCAAGGTCAAACCTGCAAGACTGACATGTACATCATAAAATATTTCCATACACCAAATATAGATGACCTATTGCATATAGTATTAGAAAAAAATACCAAAAACTCAAAAACTTAACTTTGACAACTGAACCATGAAAATGAGGTCAAGGTCAGAAGACACATGCCAGCTAGACATGTACACCTTACAATCATTCCATACACCAAATATAGTAGACCTATTGCATACAGTATAAGAAAAACAGACCAAAACACAAAAACTTAACTATAATCACTGAACCATGAAAATGAGGTCAAGGTCAGATGACACCTGCCAGTTGGACATGTACACCTTACAGTCCTTCCATACACCGAATATGCTAGACCTATTGCTTCTAGTATCTGAGAAATAGACTTGACCACCAAAACTTAACCGTGTTCAATGATCCATGAAACGAGGTCGAGGTCAAGGGAATTCTGGCTGACGGGCATTAGGACCTTGCACTGTACGCACATACCAAATATAGTTATCCTATATTCATAGTAAGAGAGAAATTATCATTACAAAAAATCTTAACTTTTTTCAAGTAGTCACTGAACCATGAAAATGAGGTCAAGGACAATGGACATGTGACAGATGGAAACTTCATAACATAAGGCATCTATATACAAAGTATGAAGCATACAGGTCTTCCACCTTCTAAAATATAAAGCTTTTAAGAAGTTAGCTAACGCTGCCGCCGCTGTAGCCACTGGATCACTATCCCTATGTCGAGCTTTCTGCAACAAAAGTCGCAGGCTCGACAAAAATCAGTTGAAAGAGGCTTAACTCATCAGATGGATAAAAATACAAATACTACAAATACATGTGGACTTGGCCGGGTTCTTGTACATCCAAACAACAAAAAGACACAAAGTACTCGCAGTTACTGACAGCTACTAAAGTAGTTCAAAGCCACTAACAACTAAGAAAAAAAATCATGCATCTAAGATTAAATCTATCACATTGTTATTGCATTAACAGATAAATTTGAAATGATTTTTTTATCCCTGGATTAACCCCATGAATAAATGAATCTAAACATAAGGCACTAGTCCAATTGTTTGTATCATACCTGTCAACACTTTTAGAAGATGAAACTGCATTTACATCACAATTACCATATCCCATTTTCAGAGAAGGTACATAATCAGGGCTTTTTGGATCATCACATTTTCCTAAAAATGATATAGCAGCATACTGAGTATATGGATAATTCCTGTACAAAGTTTCTATTTAATGTAATTGTGCATGGACATAGGGGAGCTACCATTTGTTGATTTGGTGTGTGTGTGTGGGGGGGGGGGGGGGGGGGCTAGGATGAAATTTGAAAAAAGGCAGGACAGGAGTTTTGAGCAAAAAAAAGGCAGGATGAGCAACTTGGCAAAAAAAAAGGCAGGATGACAATTTATGTAAAAAAAGTCAGGATAAACTAACAAAAAAAAGGCAGGACTGAATAGAGTGAAAAATAAAAATGTAGGACAAAGATTACAACTAAAAAAAAATGCAGGACAAAATTTTTCATCCTAGCCCCCCCCCCCCCCCCCCCCCCCCCCCCCCATAAAAATCAAATGGTAGCTCCCTAAGTATTCATCTTAAACCGGTTCACATTCCGCTATATATTTTATTTCATTAGAAGTCCAAAACCATTCTGCTCATTCATTGCAACATGCCATAAGATGAAGAGGTCACATTGTCCCTTCACACCTTAGTTAGAATGAGAGAAGGAAATATAACTTGAAGTTACAATTAAAAAATCGATGGCCATTTTTTAAAAATGCATTATATAAGATCAACGATAAAATTAAAATGTTGTTAATAAATCGTCAATAAGGAGCAAGGTCATATGAATCCTGACACAGAGATACCTACACCTTATACCATCAATACTTTCACATACTGCTTATACATGCAGTATTTGAGACACAGACCAAAGTACGAAAATTTAACATTAACTAACAAACCATGAAAATACATGTATATATTACAGTTGACCTATTGGTTACACACTATGTATAAAACAAATTAACCCAAGAATATATCAGTTATGAAGGAAAGAAGAACAATAAAAAAAGAACATCTGAATAAAAACAAAAAGAGTATATATTTAACATGTTTAACATTGAAAATATATGTCAATTGTCAAATTTGAAGATACATGTAGCAGTCTTGAATTTAATGGATCAAACGTTATTAGGACATATGATAATCCTTTTATATGTCAGTTAGCGTCTCAAAAAAACAGACATAGAAAAATGTTATTAGCAATTAAATCAAAACCATACCAAATATTATTGTTATTAACATATATGCACTTTCACAGTACTTTATCTGTGAATGCCCATTATTTTGTCATTGCACAGTCATGTTTTTCTCTAACTCTTCATATTTTTAATAAGCTTTGGATTTTCGAATATTTTCGCCTCGAGCATCACTGAAGAGACATTGATTGTCTAAATGCGCATCTGGTGCAGAAAAATTGGTACCGTTTATATTATTAATCTTGCGCCCTTAACCCTGAATGTGACCTACCAATTTAGACTTATCACCGGGTTTGAACAAGAGCAACACAACAGGTACCACCAGTATTCGTTCCATGGCCTTTTAGCATCATGAGAATGTGATACTAATTGATATAAGTTTCTTTTACATAGTTTACATAGAAACAAGATGGTATTTTATATATAATTCCCTTTTTGCTAGGAAGATATTCACTGCTAGATATGTGGACAATCTGACATAATAAAATTTGTGGAGTAATTGTGGACAAATTACTAATTCCAAACATGAAAACAAATTGGGCGGCACTTCCCCTTGAAAATGTGAATTTCCACCCTTGCTAGTAGATTCCAGGCCAAAACAGGAAGAATCAAGAAAGAAAATGATCGGTGTGGGGGCAGGTTCATTTATAAAACATGAAACCATACACCATATCATGCCTATGATAGAATATGTTAAAATACAAACCATAGCCTTGTCCTCAAGACCTCATGTCAATTCCAACAAACAATGGCAGTCCTTGTACTACCTACACTATACAGGTCTGTGTAATTTACAAGGAGTGAACTAGTTTTAAAAACCCATAAAAATATTGAAAAAATAGATACCTATACTTACTTTTATGTTAACAGGTATGGTAAATTGTAAACTGGTTAAAGTCGTAAACATCATTGTTGTTATATATATATATTTGAGACAAGTGCCCGTCAGAAAAATTGCGACACGTTGTTTATGCATTGAAGCTTAGATGTAAAATGGATATAACAAGAACTGGAATACATATGCAATGTTTTAAAGGGTTAAGATAAAGCATTGCTTTTAATTTTTACCATCAATGAAATGTTCACTGACACTGCACACTCTGGCTCCCTCGTCACCAGATATCCAAACTTTTCCTGTTAAAGGGTCCCTTCGGTTTATTGCCTTTATCCAAAGCTGTTTTCTTTCTTCATCTTTTGGAATCCTGTGGAATTTGATTCCTGGCTGTTTGTGACTATCTCGATTTCGGCAACCTAACACTACGCACACTTTACCCATGGTTTGTTAGTAAACAGACGACAACAGACTTCCGTTTCAGTCACATGGCGCCGAACGGAAATGGCCGATTGACGGCCAGACTTCCCCGGATTTAAAAATAGAACCGAGATGACGTCATCGATAAAACCTCCTAATAGGATTTGAAAATCATTAGAGAAACAGATTCCACCACCAAATCTCGTGTAATACGATATTTATCCACTCTCGACAGTTAAATTTTAAATATTTAAAACGCTCGGCGAGCCTCGCGTTTTAAATTTGAAAATTTAACTGTCTCGAGTGGATAAATATCGTATCACACTCGATGCAGTGGTAGAATCTATATTTAAACGTCACGTCATCGATTACAGTCACTGTTGCAAACCCTAATCTGTATGACGTCATGTCAAACCTATAATCTGTATTACGTCATTTCAAACCTCCTTATCTGTATGACGTCATGTCACATAAAAAGCATCTACGTGAGGTATATGTATATAATAAAGTGTATATGATATGGCTTTTTCAATATCACACACCGTATCAATCCTCAACCAATATAATCCCTCGAGCAGAGCTCTTGTGATTATATTGGTGTCTCGGGTTGATACGGATGTGATATTGAAAAAGCCATATAATATTCTCTATATAACAAACTTTTTCTTTATAAAAGCATTAAAGTCAAACAAGACCAAGAATTTTATCTTGAATATCCAAATTTTGAAACTAGACGTTTATTTAAAAAAATTAGAATAGTTGACCATAATTTATTTATAGAAAAAGGCAGATATCTGAATACACCTCGAAACCAAAGAACATGTCTAACTTGTTAAACCATAGAAGATGAAAACCACTTTCTCCTCTACTGTCAAAATAATAAAATATTACGTATTAAACTTTTTAATGACATCGCAATAGATAATCCTCTATTTTCAAATCTGTCTGATACTGAAAAACTAGTTGTCCTGTTAAATCCTTCAAAAATAAACTAAGTGAAAAAAACCTGGTTCCTTTATAAAACAATCTTTAGAGCTGAGGACAGGGGACTCTTAGTTACTTTTCCTTGTATGTATATATTATATATGTATTCAAATCAGTTTTTTGTTGTTGTTATTATTTTTATTTGTCACAAGTATAATATTGTTGAAAAACGAGGGCATGTCGGATAGGAGCATTTTTTGTAACATGAACTAACTTTGGATACATTGAACGCAATTTATGTTCAATCATAAAGTTTGTTATTAGAGATATCAACAGGCATTCATGGTTGATAAGATGTGTAAATTAGTAACATTTGATCTTTTATAAAACATGAATAGAAAAAAATGTGTAATTCAGCAACTTAAGACTTCACCAAAATGTATCACTGATGCTGGTCCTGAATATGCATGATTTGTGCAAAAAATATACAAAACTGTCTTTTGATGGGGTAATTATATGGTTTTATTGATTTTTGAAAACTGATGCCGAAGTGAATATCGGTTTTACAGAAGACAATTAAACCACAGATTTACCTCACTAAAATACATTAATTGTTTTATTCTATGAAATTACACGAGAGTTAAAAAATGTTTTTATTGACAATTATTTACCAAAACTAATTGTGCATCAAACATTTTACCATAATTATACATTTAAAAGCATGTGATTTTAGCGGGGTGAATATCACTTTTCTTCAAGTGAATATACTGTCACAGTTTATTCAAAATAGAATTGATAGAGAAAACTATTAATTTAAAAATAATACCAAGGATTTATATAGTAAGAGTACTATGTAACGTATATATATAGTAAGAATTCTGTACAACATATATAGAAATGATAGACCTACAAACAACAAACAACAAAAAACAAAGCCGAGGTGGTGCATTAATAGCTAATACCAAAGAGTTTATTGGCTCTGAAATTGTAGAACTAAAAATAGAGTGCGAGTTAGTATGGGCAGAATTAAACATCTCTGGCACAAAACAGATCTGTGTTGGTAGCTACTACAGACCCCATCAGACAAAGGTAATCACTAGAACAACTCAACATCTCCTTGAACAGACTAGATATTACATCAACCACAAATATATGGTTAGGAGGAGACTTTAATCTTGAACACATAGATTGGTCAATACCATCATTCATCTTAGGCAAACCAGATGCTAAACAACATCTATATCTACTAGATATAATATCAAATCACAACTTACACCAAGCCACAGACAAGCCAACACGAAATGAGAGAATATTAGATCTTGTTTTAGGCAATAATCCAACTTGTATAAATAAAGTTAATACACTACCACCTATCGGCTTAGCAGATCACGATATAGTTTATGTAGAAATGGAAACCTGGTTAAAAAGAGTAAGGCAAATACCAAGAAAAATACTTAAATACAAAGAGGCAAACTGGAACAACATAAACAATGACCTTGATACAACACTTAACACCATCAATATCATGTACGACTGAAGTGAATCAGATGCACTATGGAACATCTTCAAAATTGATCTTCTCAAATCAATAGAGTCAAATGTACCTCACAAAGTTCTCACATACAAGCACAGACTACCACAAGCAAGTGTTATAAAAACAGAAATAGCAACCCATCGAAATACAAGAATCTAAAACAAACAGTTCAAAAAGAGCAAAGGAAGGCATATTGGGACTACATAGAACAAATTATTTATGATTTACCCATCAATGAACCAGACCAACATCAGCAATGATCAGTCAACAAACACAAAACCAAAAAAGTTATTTCAGTACACCAAAAGCACTAGAAAAGATAATACAGGAATTGCTCCTCTGAAAAAAGAAGGCATACTAGTAACAGACACTACTGAAAAAGCAGACATACTAAACCAACAATTTCAGTCAGTATTCACTAATGAACCACCGACCAATATTCCTGATAAAGGTCCAAGCCCATATACAAAAATGCCAGAAATAAAAATCACAACACCAGGTGTCGAAAAATTATTACACAAACTAAATCCTCATAAAGCTAGTGGTCCAGATAACATCAGTGGACGTGTATTAAAAGAACTACAAGCACAAATCGCACCAATCTTAACCATCATTTTTACCAAATCTCTTGAAACAGGCAAAACACCAAAGAACTGGAAACTTGAACAAGTGATCAGTATGCTGGAGTTTCTTATTGACAACATATTTGTTGAATTTGGAGGTAGACTTTTTCAACAAATTGTCGGCATTCCTATGGGAACGAACTGTGCGCCTCTCCTTGCCGACCTCTTCTTATTTTCATATGAATCGGAGTTCCTTCAGACACTTGTCAAAAACAAGAAGATCAAAGAAGCCAGGTTATTTAATTTCACTTTCAGATATATTGATGATGTTCTTTCCATTAACAATCCGAACTTTTCTGATTGGGTTCCATTAATATATCCACCAGAACTAGAAATTAAAGAAACAACAGACACGGATTCCTCCGCCTCATTTTTAGACTTATACCTCGAATTTGACATACACAGTCATCTCAGTACCAGAATCTATGACAAACGAGACGATTTTAATTTTGAAATTATCAATTTCCCCCACCTTAGTAGCAATATACCAACTTCACCTGCATATGGGATAGACATTTCCCAACTTATTCGATATTCAAGAGCTTGCAGCTCCTACTCAGACTTTGTAAAACGTCACCAGTGTCTGAGCAGAAAGTTGATGAACCAGGGGTATGTCAAAGAACGTCTCGTCCTTTTTCTAAAAAAGTTCATCGGAAGGTACCAAGTACTTGTTGATAAATATTCCGTATCAACTTCACAAATAATACACGATGGTCTTGAAGTATAGATTTTGCGTACTGACGTTGTTTATCATCTTCATAACGTGTTATAGTATTCTTTTATTTATCTTTATTAATATTACTTTTACTGTTAAGTCTGTTTTTTGAGTTATCCATTTGACGTGACTCTGTGCTTATGTATATCGTCATACTTTGTACCACACAATTATTTTATTTTATTTATTAATATTACTTTTACTGTTAAGTCTGTTTTTTGCTATATCCATTTTACGTGACTCTGTATTTATGTATCACGTCATACTTTGAACGACAAAATTATTTTATTTATTAATATTACTTTTACTGTTGAGTCTGTTTTTTGTGATATACATTTGACGTGACTCTGTACTTATGTATATTGTCATACTTTGTACCACACAATTATTTTATTTTATTTATTAATATTACTTTTACTGTTAAGTCTGTTTTTTGCTATATCCATTTTATGTGACTCTGTATTTATGTATCCCGTCATACTTTGAACGACAAAATTATTTTATGTCTACCTGTTCGAATTTCAAACGCATGATTTTACGCCAGTACTTAAAACCTTCCATCCTTTATGGGTGGATTTTACATAGATAAATAAAATCGTATAATATAAGCAAAATGAGGATGTTAAATTTGATGTATGCCTTTTTGTGCTTCTTCGTTACATTTGTTTGTTTTTATAGTGATTAAGATGATAACACAATGTTGACTGCTGTACCCCTATTTTTGACATTTTTACCTATTGTGTCTGTTTGTTTTTTTCACGCATCGTTGTCAATATAATGGAATTTGATACGACTGTCATACAAGTGAGAGGTTTAGCTAGCTAGAAAACCAGGTTCAATCCACCATTTTCTACATAAGAAAATGCCTGTACCAAGTCAGGAATATGACAGTTGTTATCCATTCGTTTGATGTGTTTGTTTTTTTGATTTTGCCATTTGATTCGGGACTTTCTTTTTTGAATTTTCCTCGGAGTTCAGTATTTTTGTGATTTTACTTTTTGCAAACGTTGCACCAGTATTTAAAAGGGCGAACGACACAAGGCTGAAAATTATAGGCCAATTTCAATAACTTGTATTTGTTGTAAATTAATGGAGCACATTGTGACAAGTAACATCACGGAGGCAAATAACATCCTTTACGACCTCCAACGTACATGGTTTCCGTAAATCGAGATCATGCGATTCACAACTCATTCAATTTATACAAGTCCTTCCTAACAACAACAGCAAAAATATACACACAGACCTCATTATTATTGATTTTGTTTAAGCCTTCGATAAAGTTCCCCACAAACGTCAATTCTACAAACCGAAATACTATGGCATTCAAGACAACACTCTATAATGGATTCAGA